AAAGCAAATTGATGAAAGCTGATTTTTCATTGTGGGAGATCAACAGAATTTTACACTGAATGTTGAAACAATTATGTTCAGTGATTCATTTTCTTTGTGGTAAAATACGGGGAATGTTATTTTTGTAGAAAATGTGGTATACGGTAAAAATCTGAGCATCAGCATCCACTCAGAATTTTACACTCCAATTTATATTTTTCTGCAAAATGGCATTTGCCACTTTTGCACTCAATTGCTAAAGTTACAGTCACGTTTAAAAAGAAGTTAAATCATAAACAGCTAAGACCACACACACACATGTGTATCTATACCTTATGTGCTGCAGTGAATTACTTGGTATGTTTTCTAGCCATGGTCTTTGTGATTTGCACCAGACACCAGATTACTGGGTGGAACTATGCAATGATAAGGGGATTAGATAGCTTGTGACTAAGGTAAATAAAGTACATGGCACCCTTGCAGGGTAGGATCATGCAAATAAGGTATATGGATTATTTTTGTCATTCTACTAGGCTTAAAATAAGCCCTCCTAGTAGGAGCTCTGGTAGCGTAGTGCCTAAGGCACTGGATTGCTAACCAGAAGGCTGGCGGTTGAAACCCACCAGCTACTCCTTGGAAGGAAGATGGGGCAATCTACTTCCGTAGTGATAACTGCCTCGGAAACCCAAGGAGGGGTCGCTATGAGTCGGGTCCAACTCGACGGCACATAATAACAACAAAGTGGGAGCTCTGGTGGCATAGTGCCTAAGGCATTTAACTGCTAACCAGAAGGCTGGCAGCCACTCCTCAGAAAGAAGAGTAGGTGATACATCATGATAGTGATATCGTAGTGGTATTGCCTCAGAAATCCAAGGAGGGGTCACTATGAGTCGGATCCAACTCCACGGTAGCTTTAGAGGCAGAAGCGGGGATCTCACTGCCATCAAGAGAGAAGGGCTGGAGGTGCAGTGGAGCACATGCTTAGACCAAGATCCTGCACTGGACCTCGGCTGAGATGACAGGTAGAAATGGCCACCGGAGGTGACTGGCTGAGGAACTAAGAGGTACGGGACAGAGAAGCAGGCTTGCTGGCCCACAGAGCAAGAAAGTTGGATGCTCTGCATAGAAGTCTTGTTGACAGAGTGGGGTGCACCTAGGTGCCCCTACTGGCAGAGCTAAAAGAACTCTGTAACACTTGCCCAAGCAGGACAGAGGCCAGGCCAGTAGGCCAAGGACCAGAGAGGTGTACGTGAGGGCATAGCAGAGGGGAGATTGTCCTGATGGAAGAATTGTATCCTGAGAGTGTTCCCTGAACCTGAATTGCAGCCTGTTACTTCCCTAATAAATCCCATAATCGTGAGTATTATCTGTGAGTTCTGTGTGGACACTGCAATGAATTATTGAACTCAGCAGAGAAGTAGTGAGTGTCATGGGAGGACGGGTGGCGTCAGAGTTGGTAAAGTGGCTGGAGGGTGGCGACATGTCTGGCCTCACAGGAATCAGTCTTGAGCTGCTGAGGGTGATTCTCTCTCCCCCTCATGAGGCTGGAAGAGATCAGAAGATGCCACCTCCTTGTCTTTTTTACAACTTAATATTCCATTTCAATACATGAGTAAAAAAAATGGGGGATACCACACAGTGTTTAGGGCCCTTCTATGCCTTAATCCAGCCCTGACTCAGCTGCTAACCAAAAGGCTGGTAGTTCAAGCCTATCAGCCACTGCTCAGAAAAAAGACCTGGTAACCTGCCCCTAGGACTGCTAAGACTACAGCCTAGGACATGCTATGCGGCAATTCTGCTCTGTCCTATAGGGATGCTATGAGTTGGAATTTACTCAATGACACACAACAACATCCAAATGGAAAAATTCACTGAACTGTATAATGCATATCTGTATATTTACTATATATATATATATTTACTATATATAAAACCTTAATTTTTAGAAAATTAATATATACCTACTCTTCACTTATCAACTATCCTGTTATGTGACATCTTGCATCTAAAACAACAGTAAAAAAATCTACTTTCTGACTATTTTGTATAGTAACAACACATGTCTGGCAGTAACAAAAACCAAGGTATGAGGTGAAGAGCACCACTGGCTGTGATGGTTAAGGTGCTGGCCATTATATCATGACATAATAAGGCAGTTATATAATGATGTGTTGTTGTTGTTGTTATGTGCTGTCGAGTCGGCCCCAACTCATAGCGACCCCTCCTTGGGTTGCCAAGGCAGTATCACTACGGAAGTAGATTGCCCAACCTTCCTTCTGAGGAGTGGCTGGTGGGTTTGAACCACCAGCCTTCTGGTTAGCAGTCAAGTGGCTTAGGCACTATGATACCAGAGCTCCTTACAATGATGTAGTAGCCCTTAATTTGTGATCTCATGTAGTCATCTTCCCTTTTTGCATGACGCCAATTTTCACACAATAACCTGGTCTCTGGAAACTAACCATGTCAATAAGTGAGGAGTTGAGTAGTGGCAAGAGTCCTGGAATATGAGTTGGAAAGTTCTCGTCATGGCTTTGTCATAGACTACCTATTTGGTTCTCGCCAAAGCACAGAATCTCAGTGGGCCTCTATTCCATAACTAAATGTGAAGCAAGGTTTCTTTCCCTTCAAATCCATTAATTCAAGATTTTTATGAATTTCCACAGTCTTTATATTTGACTTAACATAGTTAAATACATATATAAAATGATCTTTTCCTAATTTTTACCAAAATAAAACCTGAATTATCTCTTTAATCCCCACTGGACAGGCTGGAGGTCTGATTGGCCTCCTTGAGGAAGAACTAGCAATGGAGCACAAAGAAGGAAATGCTTCCTGAGGGACAGAGGTGATTAGAAATTAATTATAGGCTATTACCTGGAAAGAACATCTCTAGTGATGACAGTAGCTGGAGATGTAATTCTCCTTGAATCAGTAACAAGAGCCTAGAGCCACTGGAGTAATGATACCTAATAATTTATAAATAATTAAAAGGTGAAAGCTAGGTAAAGGCAGATGCTGGAGATTATCTACATTAATAATCAGTATTTACCACACAAGTTCTGTCCATTGGAAAAAAATCAAGAAGCTATTCCTTGGTGGGGGCAGGCAGGGCACACCAGAAAAGTCCACTGCCTTTTTTTTTTTTTTCAATTTAAGAGGGGGTATATAAAATTTAGTGACAGACAACTTTTCTGCATGAAGAAATACTACAGAAATTCAGCAGTTTCCATCTTTATATCCTCATTCAAGGTACATAAGTGATCATCAAGGAGTTTGGCAGATCAAGTCAGAGTACCCTAGTCATCACTTCCTCGGAAAGAAAGGGATATGCAATGATTTTAGAAGTGTCTGAATCTCAGGAACTTCTTGTATGGATTAGGACTCCAAACTCCAGAGGTGATCTAGCCTTTTGTGAAAAACAAGAGATGTTTCCTTCAGATGACAGAATAAGCATACGTATAGTAAAATGCCATGTAAAAAAAAAAAAAAAACTAGCTCACTGAGACCAGGGTATGGATTCTACTTCTGGCTTTGTCATCTAAATTTAAGCAAATCGCTTTTTTCTTTCTGTGATTCATCTTCTTATCTGTAAAATGAAGGACCAGATTAGATATTACCTTTATTTTTCTCTTTCTGTCACTAAAAATTTCTACATGCTTGGAACTCACTATGAGCTCACTAATAATATGGCAGATGGGCTTCCTAGTAAGAACCTTAAACACCGCCCTGGCGTCAGTCAGATCCCACTCATAGCGACCCCTCCCTGGGTTTCCGAGGCAGTATCACTACGGAAGTAGATTGCTCAATTTTCCTTCCAAGGAGTGGCTGGTGGGTTTGAACCATTAGCAGTCAAATGCCTTAGGCACTGCACCACCAAAACTCCCATAAGAACCTTGTTGTTGTTGTTATGTGCCATCCAGTCAGACCCGACTCATAGCGACCCCTCTCTGGGTTTCCAAGGCAGTATCACTAAGGAAGTAGATTGCCCAACCTTCCTTCCAAGGAAGGAGCTCTGGTAGCGCAGTGCCTAAGGCAACTGACTGCTAACCAGAAGGCTGGCGGTTCAAACCCACCAGCCACTCCGCGGAAGGAAGATGGGGCAATGTACTTCCGTAGTGATACTGCCTCGGAAACCCAAGGAGGGGTCACTATGAGTCGGGTCGACTGCACATAACAACAACAACAACCTTGTAAGGAGTGGCTGGTAGGTTTGAATCTCCAGCATTCTGGTTAGCAGTCAAGTCCTTAGGCACTATGTTACCAGAGCCCCTGTAAGAACCTTAAGACACAAAAAAGCCATCTATCTTTATTAACAAAAGTATCTACAAATTAGAAATCCAAATCACTAAATTCACTTACTTTAGTGATCCCTCAATTACCAAACTTAAATGATGAAGGTTAAGGCCAAAGGTCAGTGGAAGAACCTTTTACTGACTGTCAGCTGGGTTTCCATACATCAAACAAATCAAAATGAAATTCATAAATGAGTTAAATAAATGAAAGGGTCTATAATGCTATAGTTAACTGGTGGAGAATTAACAAAAATAATTTTAAAAGCCATCAATGAGGCTATATTTGTTCCACAAAAAGTCTATAGTTCGCATAGATAGACAGTTAGACAGATACAGGCCTACCCTGGAGATACTGTGAGTTCAGTTCCAGAAAACCATAATAAAGCAAGTCACACAAACTTTTTGGTTTCCCAGTGCATATAAAAGTTATGGGTACATTATATTGTAGTCTATTAAGTGTGCAATAGCAATATGAAAAAGTCAGAAATATTGTGAGCATCACCAAAGTGTGACACAAAGGCACGAAATTAACATAAGCTGTTAGAAAAATTGTTCTGAGAGACTTGCTTGACACAGGGTTACCAGAAACCTTCAATTTGTTAAAAAAAAATACAGCATCTGCAAAGTGCAACAAAGTGAAGTGTGATGAAACAAGGTATGCCTGTAGATAGATGACAGATTTTTATTAGCTGAATACAGGTCAAGATAAAACACATAACGTCTACTCACTTTGACAGCGACACTCCCCCAGCTTTCCCAATCATCTCTTCGTGGTGCAATACTGAGTGGTTCCATGGAACATGAAGGAACTTTAAGAGTGTTCTCATCCACCGCTCAGGATGTAAGACAAGTTGTTCATAGTGAACTAACATGCACTTTTTATAGCCAACCTCCATACACTGGTTGTACATGGTCTCTATGGCACGATTCCACTTGGTCAAACAGTCTCTATAGCTGTTCAGGTCAAACCCAGCTATAGTAACTTTTCGAGAAATCATCGAATGGACTGATGCCCGGCCATCTCGAATCATCAGGAGAAATTTGGCATTGGGGAATAACCTGGCAAGGTAAGTTAAGGATTTCAGGGCAAAAGGGTCTTTGTTACATAAATACGGGGCTGGCTCCCCATGCTTTACAATGATTTCTAGTAAGAAGGCTTGCATGGCAGAATCCAGAACTTCATCGGTGACACCAGCCTCATCCAGGCGGATCTTCTCTTTACTTGATCGCGACCACATCTGCTTCAGGGCCAGGATCCGGGGAATGACTCTGGTTTCTTCTCCACAGCGAATGTCGGGGTGTGCGTCCAGCATGGCCCGCATGAGTGTCGTTCCACTTCGAGGCACACCTCCAATAAATATCAAAGGCATATCTTTGTGGTAGGCAAAGGTTTTATTGGCTTTGACGTCCACGGCAGTTCGCACTGTGGCCTCTGTACTCTCTAGTCTGGCCGGCTGGCTGCGCTCCTCTATTCGGTGGTGGCATTCCATGGCGTGCTGGCCCAAGTAGAACACCGTCACAGAACTAATCACCAGACATGCCAGTAGTAAGTTCTGCTTCAGTTTCCCAACCATCTTGATGTTGTTCTTATTACTAAATAGATATTTTGCTTGAAATAATTTTCAGGAAGTGTTCAGGCCATGGAGATTTTACTTCAGAAAGATGACCAACATCTAGAAGGATAAGGAAAGAGCTGTTTTATCATCATGTTGACTGTTCACAGATTAGCTACCAATTATCACCATTACATTTTAGCTACAAATGGAAGCTGTCTCGGACACTCTGATACTCTTTAAACACAAGTACAGTCAGCTTGTATTCTTGGTTCCAGCATCTGGGGATTCAACCAATCCCAACAAAAATTATTCAGGGGAAAAGTAATCAATTAAGCAGTCAAAGTAATCCCTCAAAGGCTAGGAGGAACTGTAAAGTGCTATCACATAGCATTTACATTGTATTAGGTATTATAAGTAATCTAGAAATGATTTAAAACACACTCAAAGATGTGCATATAGGTTATATGTAAATACCATGTCATTTTATATAGGGGAGCTAAGCATCCATGGATTCTGGTATCTGCAGGGGGAGGGGGCTGTCCTGGAACCAAGCCCCCCCCCCCCCCCCCGTGCATACTAAGGACAGCTGTATACACAAATGCTGGCAAAAATTAATCAAGGTTTATCATCAGAAACAGCTGTTCTTAATGTAACACTTCAGAAGCACAGAATGGAAAAGTACAGAAAGCTATTTCTATCAATGAGTCAAGCAAATATTGAATATGCCCAAGCATGTTTAGGGGCCATGCCAAACAGGCTGGTCTCTGCTATTCAGACTTGCTTCAGCCCCAAGAAGTTACTATCTCCGTATTCCACTCAAACGGGAAATTACAGAACAAATACACAACTGCCCAACCTTTAACACACATGCAAGTTATTCATTCCACAAATTATTCATTTAGGTCCTTGAAGACCAGAGACTTGGGCTTGGCTGAGGATCAACTTTGAGAAAGACAGCAGCGGTCCCTGCTCTCAGGAAACAATCTTATGGACAGATGGACAGATGGAGATGCAAACAAGACAAGGAGCACCTAAGTCTACCCTGGGGGGAGCCAAGTAAGAGGGAAAGAGAAAGAGGGAGGGAGGAGTATACTAAGCCACAGTGACTTGTTTGCCAAAGCACAATGGTGTGACAGACATAGAGTAACTGGGTGACAGGAGAGCTGGTAAATATGATACATGCATGCGTATGTCTGTGACCTGGCCCTGGGACGGACAGACTTGATGTGGACACACACAGCAGTCTAAGCTGAAGACAGACTATGATCAAAGGCATGGCCATGTAAGAGCAGGGCTAACAGTGGAACCAATGGTGCATCTGCTAGTTTAGCTGGAGCAAGGGTATGTACTGGGAAGCAGAAGGCAATCAGGGTCCATCTAGAAAACAAAAGTTACCCAGAATTCTCAGAGGCCAAGTACGCCTCGGGGAAACGCCTGAGTACACCAGGGAAAGAACACACACTGAGAGGCAGCTTCTGGATCTGGCAGAAGGTAGGCACACCCTCTCCCCAAAAACCAATGATAGAGCTGGACAAAAGTGACAAAACTACTTTCCAGGGCTCTGGAAATCACCCAGAGGAACAGAACACCCTTAACCACCTGAGACGTATTATGCTTCAAAAACTTGCTGGGGTTAGGTGAGAACAGTGAGAAGCTGTGGCATCTGGCCTAAGACTATTCCCATCCTCCTCCCGACCCCACTCAGTGAGGGCAGAGGTTTGCAGAGCAGGCAGGGCAAACGCTGGAGGCAAATCTCAGGGCAAACCTGAGGGAAGCCCCCTCAAAGTGGAGTGAGAAACACCCAAATGTCCAGCTGCCAGTGCCAAGTGATGATCTAGGCAGCCGGTCCACAAGGAAGATCAATGGCTGTGCAAGCCTGAGGTTACAGGCATGCAGCTGGGACAAGCTCATGGTCAACCCTGAGGATGCAAGCACCAAGGAGACACCAAAGGACTGAGCATAAAGGTCAGGGCAAATGTGAAAGTGGCTGGAACTCTGAAGGTGCCCCCTATCCAGATCCAGATCCCCTGGCAGAGGACAAAAGCCTTGCCAGCACCAGGTGTCTGCGCACAACCAGGATCCAAGCACTGGCTGACCACTAAGCTCTGCAGATAGGGCACGACGCCTAGAAAGCAAAGCTTGAAAATGAAAATAAGAGTAAAAGCATGAATGCAAATGTGTGTGTGTACATGTGTCCACATACCTGAACAGAAACATCTGCATACATTTATATGCAATGTCTGGAAAAGGCAAACTTACAGAAGTGGAAAACGGGGGTAAAGGCAGGGACTGACTTGTGGATGGGCATGAGGGGACATTTTGCAATGATGGAAATGTTCAAAACCAGAACTCTGTGATGTCTACACAATGGCCATGGTTTTGGTGTTCATCATCACTCACCAAAATACTAGAAACAAACGAAATGTCCTTCAATAGGTAAATGAATAAACTGGTACAGCCATGCAATGGAATACTACCCTGCAACAAAAAGGACCAAATTCTTGATATATGGAACAACTTGGATGAATCTCAAAGGACTTATGCTGACTAAAAAAAAAAGCCAGTCTTAAAATCAATCTATTCATAAGACATTCTTATAAAGGCAAAACTGCAGCTCAGTGCACACCAGGGGACTGTGTTGCCGAGAGGGAGATAATGCAGACAGCTGTCTGGGGTGATGGAGCTGTTCTGTATTCTGACTGCGATGGCTGTTACAGGAGTCAAAGTATGTGTTAAAATCCAGAGAACTATACAGAGGGAAAAAAGGGGGGAGGGTCAGTTTTACTGTGTAATAAGTTTTAAGATAAAATGGTTTAAAAATCAAGGCAAACTGGTAGGAAAACATGGAGGGGAGAGACAGGTGACAGAGGCTACTGTAATCTTAATCTTCCAATCAACGATGTTTCTGCTCAAACTCTACTTAGTGGTGATAGACTCAGTGGGGATAAGAATACAAGTATATCTCGGAGACATTGGGGGTTTGGTTCCAGGCCACTGCAATAAAGAGAATATTGCAATAAAGTGAGTCATACGAATATTTTGATTCCCAGTGCTTATAAAACTCATGTGTACCCTGTACTGTGGTCTAGGAAGTGTGCGACAGCAATGGTGAAAATGTTTGAATCACTGTGAGAATGGCCAAAATGGGACCCAGAGACATGAACTGAGCACATGCTGGTAGAAAAATGGTGCTGACAGACCTGTTCAATGCAGGGTTACCACAGACTATCAATTTGTAAAATCTGTGCAAAGCACAATACAGTGAAGTGCAATAACATGAAGTATGCCTGCACATGGAGTAAATAATAGGTTTTACTGAGAACAGCAAAAAAAATAATCCTAGAAAAGTGATTTCAGATTTTCCATTTTATGGGCACTTAAATGAAATAAAAATGCATTTAAATCTGAACACACAACAAACTTGCTTAGTGAAGCAAAGAGAAGGGCTCTTAGGGCTGTGATAAACTCTAATAACGGTTGATTTGATCTTGGATAGTTATACAGCAGTGATCCTGCTGTACATTCCATTGGTTTAAGGGTTTGCATAACGCATGTTGCATGAGAGAAGAGCAGTCAGCACCCTGAGGTGGCAGAGCTTCTTCATCTAATTTATTCTAGTCTTATCAATATTTTAAATACACTTAATATCCTAACTATTTGCCAAATGCTGGTACATGTCAGAATTTAATAGGTGACAAATGAATCAACTTCTTCCTAAAACTACCTTAGCAACAACTTAAAATACAACTGTACAAAAACAAAGTAACTCTCTCTGAAATCATCCCCCAGCCCAGATTAAATACAAAAGTTCACCAATCCAAAGTTAATGTGACAGACCTTTAAATTACTATAGCAGCAATCAACTGCACCAAGCAACAAGTAATATACAGCAACTTTTAACTAAAACCCAAAAACAAAACTCACTGGCCACTGAGTCGATTCCGACTCACAGCGACCCCCTCAATGGGTTTCCAAGGCAGTAAATCTTTACGGAAGTAGATTGCCCCATCTTCCTTCCACAGAGCAGCTGGTAGGTTTGAACCACCAACCTTCTGGTTAGCAGGCAAATGCCTCAGGCACCGCGCCACCAGAGCACCTTACTTCTAACTAAAATACTCCCCAATTCCAAGTAAAATACAGAAAAACAAAAAATGGAAACATGTTATTAATATATCTCATTGTCCATAAACATACACGTACATCATCTTAGTGGCTTTGTTTTGGTACAGTTGTTATTTTAAGTTGTTGCTAAGGTAATTTTAGAAGAAGTTGATTCATTTGTCACCTACTAAATTCTGACATGTACCAGCATTTGGCAAATAGGATATTAAGTGTATTTAAAATATTGATAGGACTGGAATAAATTAGATGAAGAAGCTCTGCCACCTCAGGGTGCTGACTGCTCTTCTCTCATGCAACAAAACTTCACTAAACGGATCTATTGAGATTGATCTGACCAATTCGCTATTATTAGAATTCCCATTGCTATAAATACATCGTGATCAATATTTCCACACTGCTAAATGGGCAAGGAAGATGGGGCAATCTACTTCGGTAGTGATACTGCCTCAGAAACCCAAGGAGGGGTCGCTATGAGTCGGGTCCGACTCGCCAGCACATAACAACAACAAACAAACAAATGGGCAAGGAGGACACATCTTCTGACCTCCTCTAACCCCACAAGAGGAAGACAAGAGTCACTATCAATAACTCAAGGCCTATTCCTGTGAGGCCAGACATGCTGCCTCCCTCTAGCCCTTTCACCAACCGTTCCTCCAAAGCACCCACCACCTCTGTCCTGGGTCCGATAATTCGCTGCAGTGGCCACATAGAACTCACAGATTACAGGGTTTATTAGGGAAATACCACGGTACAATTCAAGTTCAGGAAAAACGCTCAGTCTCTCTCCCAGCCTGCAGTCTCTTCCAACAGTGCATGTCCCTTGGTGTCTCATTCAGCAATACGTCTCTCTTGTGTCTCTTTCCCAGCAGTGCATGTCTCTTTCAGAAGCACGTCTT